ATACTATTACTAGTTTTTTAGGCACCATCAACCCTGAAATAAAGTCCCTGTATTTTTGTTTTCCCCACTAAAATGTTTAATTCAAAATGCATCCAGTCTAGATGGCTGAATGGATTGAATTGCTGCCATTTGACTCGCCACATTTTTTTTGTTTTTGTTTCAGCAAGTGAATTTAAACCTTAAAAAGTTGCTAGTGAAAATACATGTATTGATTTTAATTCAACATACCCAGTTCTGATGGCAATTCCAACACATTTAATTTATAATTAGATGTCTCAAAATATGAATAAATCTATTTGTGCATGGATCCCATATATTTTAAATAATCAGCTTTTTAAAGTTTTATGGGAATGGGAATCAGAAATTAGCTTGATAATCACTCCATAGCTGCCTGCTGTGAAGCGAAGCATACCATCATGAGGCAAACATTACTCTATTAGTCACCAGTAATAGTGTGTGTGTGTTGCCTTACTCAGGATTTTTCTATTGTTTAACATTTTAATATTTTTATCTAATTTTTTTTAAAGTTACATTTATGTCACCTGGAAGTCAAGGATGAGCTGGATTTGTGGGAACAGATTTAATCAACTTTAAGCATGATGTGTTAATTCTTTTTTTAAAGTGCCGTGAATTTTTAATATAGTTTAATAATATCTCCAATGTCTGAGCATTTAATTCTATAATAATGCTTTTGCCAAGAAATTTGCCTATTAAAAATCAGCTAGGCTAAGCTAACTAGCTTTGGAAATGATCAGTGTCTTACACTTTTTTTCTTTAACCCCTACTTGTGTTTGATTTGCAATCCCAAGATCCTACTATTTTTATCCACATCAAAAAATATTATAAGATATAAAAGGCAGAATAGAAATTATATCCAGTAAAAGCATCTTTACTCATTAGCCAAGATAAACCAGTGGGCATTAAGGATGAAAAAGATAATATATAAAAAAGAAACTATATGCTTTATCATATAATCAAAAGGTTTCTAGATATCTCTTAAAAATAGAACTGTCTGATGTTTTAAATGGGAAAGAATACAATGCTGAAGGTGTAACTCTGTGTTTGGCTGATTAAAAGGCTTTACTAAAGTACAGTCCTCCTCAGGTGAGCAAAAGCAGATAAACATCTAAATGAATGCATGTGGAATATTGTTCCTTGGGGATGGTTAAGAAGGGTTAAGAAAACATTGGTTAATTTACCCCAAAATAAACCTTTTTTTGCATATAAACAGTTTAAACTGGGCCTATGCGGTGCGATTTTAATTTTACAGTTGTTTCCTGTTTTTGTTTGCATTTTCATGTATGATTTTTTTTTTACCGGTAATTCTGCAGTATTTTGTCACAAAAAAACACCATAATGCTGCTCTTAGTGGTTGAACATTTGCTGTTACAGGTGATTTTTTGTTTCAAACAGTGCACACTGGAAGAGGCTCTGTTCATCGTACTGTAGTTCATGCCTCAGCTGCGAGACATCCTGTCCTCTACACATTCCTCAGCTTCTGACATGGCTAAGTCACCGCCTTGGAGCAAAGGGCTTTTCTAATTACTGCAGATGTTATACAACCCGCTTTTCCTGATGGATCGGATGCCAAATCGGATCAAGTGTGTTTTGGCCCATCGACCACCTCTGGTTTGTTGGTTTGCTTTCATTATAGCTCCTTCATTCTTTTCTGCAATGACCCCAGAAAAAAAACAAAGAGAAAGAAATAGAAACATACCTTTTATTACTCTTAACAGAATATAAAACATAGCAAAATGGATGGCTTTATGTTGTTAGCAGTGGAAGTTATTCTAATTCCACTAAAAGTTGGAACAAGCATTTAAAATGCTTAAAGACTCTCCAGAAGGCAACACCCACTATGTTTTCCATGAGTCAGAGTGGGCATCGTCCAAAGGTGAGGATGCCAAGGTCCATAAGCTCCCTCCATCTGTCGCTGATGTCCTCCTGTTATGAGCAGCTTTTCTTTCTTCCTCTTTGTCTTTATTGTATCAAACTCAATTCTACAAATATGTGGCTGGGGAAAAAAAAAAAAAGTATTTGCCCCCTCATAGATTTAATCTATTTTGCTTTTTGTTCTGCTCCTTGTTTAATCAATAATCATGAAGTAACTGCCTGACCTGTAGAATAATATATATATATATATAACTTCTCAATCTCACACAGAAACATATTGAGCTACAAAGGCCTAATTAAATACATACATTATGAGGTATTAGATATTTGAATCTTTACATTTTTATCAACCTCTGCACATCTTTTCTGTGAATGTCTCTGAGTAGCACATTTTTTTTTAAAGCAAAGCATAAAACCGGTCAACAAACACAATCCATTTGAAGTGCAAAAAAAGAGGATTAAATTACAAAAAAGAAAACACCTGTAACACTGCAGAAAAAGGTTGACACGTTTATGATGCTCTGTTAAAACAAAGCATAATGGATCGTTTTAATTCTCTAAACCTTGTATTTCATCTTTCCAGTTTTGCTGATGACGCAGATATGCTGAAAAAAGAAGAGGTCAGTGAGGGAATGATTAGTTTGTGCCAAATAATGTTAAATTAATAGCATTTATATTGCTCTATAGATAGTAACATTCCATTTATACATTCAAGCAGAACATTATGCGCTCCATATATAGGAATAAATTGCATAAGACCTTGAGTTATTTGAAAGCTGGAAATGCAATCTATAACGATAAGGGACATTCATTTATCTCACTCTGGGAGTCCCAGTGGGTTTGATTCATACTTCTTTGGTGGGATGAGGACAGATAGGAGGGTGAACTTCAGCTCAGGCTGATAATGAGATTCCAAACCTCCACATTCCACAGGTCAGTTTTTCAAACTTTCCCAATGAGATAAGCCCCCTCAAACGTGCACAACAGCCACATACAGGCCAAGCATGCAGCACATACTGTACACGGCACATACAGTTCTGGGAGGTAGGTAAGCCCTTTCACACCAACTAAAGGTGAATATCAGGTCTATGGCAAAACTAAAAATGATTTATACTGACTTATACCCAACCTGACAGTTTGGAAGGAAGAACATTAACCTCCACTTAATGAACAGGAATTAGGATAAAATGAGGGAATGTTGGAAAAAATGCATTATTAAGTAAACAGATATTAAATTTCCGTTTATCGTTTTACTTATTTATTTTTTGGAATGGTTGATCAGAAAAAAAATCACCCAATTTAGAGTTCAGAGGTTGGCCTTATTAGGCAGTTGCTGCATCATCTGACAGTCTGAAAGTTTAACATGAGGCATGCAGGTTGTTTATTTATTTGGTGTGTCCTACAGACATTAGCCCCAGTCAGATTCTAAAGGTATGATATCTTTAACCTCAGTAGTTCAACACCGATGCATCTATAAGCTGTAGTCTATTTTCCCAGAATGTACTTTGGGTCAAAGATTCAACATCAAGCACATCCATATTAAATGGATCCCACCTAGCAAACAATCAAAGATGGATTTAGTGGATACTGAGAAGCGACTGGCATTAAGCTAGACTCAGACAGCGATGGCAACAGCAGGTAAGGTGAAAAATGTAAAGAAAAAAAGTTAAGTAGAAGAGCAAGCTAAGAGAATGAGAAGACTGCTGCAGTTCTGTGCTTTGGCCACAGGTGGCAGTATAAATAGAAAACTCTGTAATGCCTCTAAGTTACACTGACAGTTTTCCACAGAAATATACGGAAGAGGATTAGTGCCACTGAAAAAAAAAAGTAATCTGATTTTTAAATTTTATTTCAGTTTAACATGGGAAAAAAGTCAGAATTCTGACTTTTTTCTCAGAATTCTGACTTTAATCTCAAAATAACTGATAATATACTGAAAAAAATAAATAAAAATCTGTTAACTTTTTTTTTTTTCAGTGGCCCTAATCCTTATTTTTAAAAGTTAACAGCTTTTTAAAAATAAAATGTTAATAAGTTCTTTCAGCAAAATATAGAAAAGATCAGCTGTATTAAGTGCTATATTTCAAATTCTTATTGACCAGAATATCATGATCTTATTTTGCATTCCTGAGTAACAGATATCAGCTATCAGATAGTCTTTTACATTTTTTTTTCCTCAGTCACAGTTGGGAGTGATGTTTTTTTCAGTTACTTTTGTTTTCATAATTGAAAGTATTGAATATTAACATCTACAACAGCCCATTTAAAAACACCTATGAGGTACAACAACATTTAATTTTCCTTAGGGAGCAATAAAGTACTTTTTTAATTAAATTGAATATGTCCATACAGCAGATTTTGTCTTGAATAAAGCCCTCTTAGACAGGCCTTAACTAGACACCAAAATAATAAAGAACAAATAACCACAGATTGCAGTTTTTGATAAGCCAGGTTCTTTTTGCTCTATCAAGTTGTTATATAGCAGTTTTATTTACTTAGCCATATTCTGCTTAATAGTGTTTGTCATTTCTGCACATGGCTTTCTGATTCAAAGAAAAGGAGATGTAATTTATAGATAAATATTGCTTATTTAATGCTTTGTTCATCTAAAGTATGAAGAGTGGCTGAGAGAGATGCCACTGATATTGGCCCTGATGATAAAATAATGCTGAGTCCAGAGTTCAGCAGCAGATTCTATCCACCGCTTTTTGATTTCTTTGTCTTTCAACCTGTTAAAAATCCTCTGCCAAACCTTTTCCCACAGTTACATCTAAATCGCTGATATAAAAAGCCTGCAGCTGCTTTGCCTTCACGTAAAACCTCCTCAGACAGGGAGGATACCTGTTGGGTGAGTTTAGGTTTCAGAAAGAGGAGAGCATCTCTTTGATTTACCGTGTTTACTCTCCCACCCCGCCTCTTTCATCTCCTATTCTCTACAGCTCTTCAAAAGTTCATGAGGTTAGCAGCAGCAACAACCTCAGGACTTACATTCAGGTCACGGAAGTACTCATTGTAGTCCAAGGCGTAGCCGACCACAAATCGATTGGGAATTTCAAATCCAACATCTGCAAAAGTAAACAGATGTTTGCATAAAGGTGTCAGGATGAGCGACACATTATCTGTATAACTGGAAACCCAACATTTTATTTCTCATTGATTCACCATGGTTGTAAATTAATACCTAGAGAAGTAGAGAAACTAAGTGTAACAAAGCATTAGGTTTAAGAAATTATCTGTGTGAAGAAATATCTTCACACCTGCAATTCTTCCAAATGTTGTGTTGGTAGAAGTTCTGTAAAATTATCTCTGACAGCAATTAATATTACTGAAAAAGATGAGAAGTTCTATAGAATTGTTACGCCAGAGGAAAAAAAAACACCAAGAAGATTTCAACCCAATTTTAATGTAATTTTATTACATAACAAACTCCAATTAACTTTAGATAACTGTTATATAAACCCATTAAATGAACCTTATACTGAAGCTGGTTTTGCTGGCAAGAAAAATACATCTTAAAAAGGCTGCTCTTTAGTAACTAGCTGATAGCCCAGCATTTAATATCTATAAAATATTTATTTTTATGGTTTCGGAATGACACCAGTTTGGGATGAAATGGGAATGACTAGATATAAAATCACTACTATTTGGAAAACTGACACACATCTGAGGCTTATAGCTACAATGTTGGTAAAGATCTATATTGAAAATTTTTGTTTGCTTACATTTGTGCAATCAAAGTAAAGTTTCAATCTTTAAGGTGATCCTGTTCTCTTATTAAACTAGAAATGTTAACCATGTTGAACAAATGTAATGTATTATATTTTCAATGTAATTTGAAAGTGTATAATGTGTATTTTAATGTTGCCCAGGAACGGCAGATGGAAATTAGCTAAATCTAACACATAGCATCTTTCTTTGAAAATATAAAGTATTTTAAAGATCATATCTGCCAAATAAAATAATAAATCAAAACAAACTTAGGTCTGAAATTTCAGAGTTAACTGACAAATCCATACTATCCTCAGCCAAAGGAAAAAACAGAGCTTAAATGTTTGCATCACATTATTCAGACTAAAGAATGAAAATGTAGTTGTCAGAATACACAGCCCTGAGGAACATTGGTATCAGAACAAAGCTTTACTCTGACAAACAGGACTTTGTCTTTTTTTTTTTCATCATATCTGATTTTTTATATATTTTATAAACTGTATAAATGTTATGAATTAAAACTGTTAAATGCTTGAGTGGAAATAATTAAAAAAGGTCCAATGGTTCTGAGAATAAAACTAAATCTATCAAATGTATCAGAACATCTACTGTAAGAGGTTGTTGAAAAAACAGAGAAGGCTTGTTGTTTAAACGGAAGCACGCTGCACATGAGAGGCTGTGATTGCAGTTATTAACGCTGATATTTCCAAGCTGCAGGGTACAGCCAGAGGCGTAGCCAGAAGGTTTTTATAAGGGTGGCCAGGCAATAACCAATGTACACTGAATGGTGGCCCAAAGTGGATAGGCGCCAGAAACTCAGGGTCAATCTACACTATTGCAACAGGAAAATTAACAAGCACATCCATATTTTCTAAATAAAGACAAACTATACTTTCCTACAGCCTTTGCTAACAAATGGACAATTATATTTAAACATCCATGCTTTCTAGATATAAGGTATAGTGGATAAAATTCTTTCAGGTTTGAGTTCTGGGGCAAACATATCTTCCTTTGTCATTACTTACCTACTTTTATCAACAATTATTCTGCATAAAATTGATATTTACAAGTACTAATATCTACAAAAAAATGATTATTAAGTTTTTATTAAAATAGTTATTTATCTATGATTTAACTGAAGCCTCCTAGAAGACTGTCAGAGACACATAATTTTCTCTTTATCCCCTATAACATAAAATCTAGTTCTGAAAAGAGCATGAATTATCATCTTTAATGTTAGTATATTGATGTGCATAATTAACCACATAGCGTTTGTTGTCAAGTAATTGTTAATATATGAAAAATTAAAACGTTTTGAATATTCTATTTGAGAGTATTACTGCTGCCACCGTCTGTATTAGAGGGAATAAAATGGCAGGGGTGGCCACATGGGTGGTGCCCCTGGCCCCCCATCTAGCTCCACCCCTGGATACAGCTGATAACAATTTTACTAGAAGCACTCAAAATTCCCTGCAGGCCGCTATGTGACCATCTTATGGCAACCATCATTTTGGATTTGAAGCAGACATGGATGGATGGAAAAAACACCTTGATGCTAAACACTGTCCTGGTTAGACTTTCTAATATTTAGGAGGCATCTATAAAAACATAGAATTAATCAAAAGTATTTGATTAATATAATATTAATATAATATTGTTTGCAGACGTCAATGGTATGGGCAAACTGAAATAATGACAGGCTATAGAACAAGAAAATACTTACAGTCTGTGAAACTATCAGCCATGTTAGAGACCCTCTTCACCAGCAAACTGAAACAAAACAATCAATTAATTAAGTCATTTAATAAAGGAGTTTTTAATTTCTTTTACTGAAGGAGTTTTTAAAGGAAACCATTGCCATAAACTATGTGTGCAACCAGATGATAATCTTGTTTCTGATCTTTGGGAATGTCTGAAAACTGCCTACAGACACAAGGCAGTGACCGCAGACAAGTGATATCTTGTACTCCTGCTCATCATGCGCTCGGTATTTCCCTTACAGTGGAAAAAAGTTGAACGAGTGAAAGGACGGCTCACCCTGCGACCTTGACCATCTTGGGCTCAAAGGTCTCCACATGCTTCAGAAGAGCCTTCATAGTCTTTCCTGTGTCGACTATGGCCTGAAGGAAGGAAAGAGCAGAGGAAGTCGGAGCAATAAGGAGGGAGGGATGTGGATCATCGGACATCAGAGATAACAAGATACAAGAATGACATATGTTGTTTTTTTTCCAGAAAGTTTCTTATTTCTTGGAAAAGTTCCACATTTCTGCGATTGTTTGGTTTCATGGTGGCTGTTACAAAAATATAGGAAACTTCCATTTTTATTTTGAACTTCAAAACTGATCCCAAATGATATTTTTACTCCTACATGAAAAGTAATTAAATGATCTGATGCAGAAAACTTTTCCTTAATTAATCTCACCTTATGACAAACTTTCATAGCCCTTGAATTTCTATCATATTCTGAGACATTTCAATCACAAACTTTAATATTTTATAAAAGAACTTCAAATGATGGAAAAAAATAGAACACATCTGTGCCGCAGGAAAGCAATGGCTGCTTTTTTTTAGGCATTTTTTCAAACTAAAAATCTGAAAAGTGTGGTGTGTATTTGTGTTCAGCCAGTACAATATCCTCTTGCTGTAATTACAGCTGTAAGTCCTTCTTCTATGCCTCTACCAGCTTTGCGGAAGCAGACACAGAAATGAGAAGCTGTTCTTCAATAACTTGTCGGACTTAATGGTGAGGGTCAAAGGTCACCAATTTTCAAGTTGTGCTACCGTTTCTTAAGGTGTTTAAGATCTCTAGTTCATGTGGTTTTAGGTCACTCATGAACAGAATTTAAAGTATTTAGGCATCCACTCTTACCAGCCTGTTTCTGAAGTAACACATTCCTACAACATTATCCAGTTTTCACCGATAGTTCATGGTGGTCTTAAGATTTTTTTTTAACAAGTGATTTGATTTTTTTTTTACCCAATTCAATAAATAAAAGCATTTTGTTGGCCCAGTTAACAGTATTATTTTTCATCTAATCTATAGTTTTCTGTAGCTCCTCCACGGTTAGCATCTTCCCCTCGACTTGCTTCTCTGATCCTGTCAGCTTAAGTGTACGGATAATTTTTTTTAGAACACATAACTGCATCAACAACATTCAACCCTGACCTAACTGCTGTGTTCCTTTGTCCTCGTGGGGCTTTTTGTTCTCTACCTTAACAAAACAGTTTTATACTGGGATTAAACCATGAACAGGTGGACCAAGTTTAATAAATGGGAGGCTGATGGCCTTTGTTTGCATTGGATTTTAGCAGAGGTGGGTAGAGTGAGTACCCAACAGTGTTGTGCATGAATGTGTTCACTGAATAAGTTAATATTTTTTGTGAACTTTGAACCGAATGGATCAGTTTTGAAGTAATGAACGTGAACGAGAATGACTCCAACGTTACCTAATAAATAACAAAAGAATATATTTGCATTCATAAAGGGGAATAAACACACTCACCTCAACAATCAGCACACTCTTGATCACATGCAAAAGAAAAAGGTTAAAAGACATCAATAAATCATCACCTTTGAATCGTCACATTGTTCAAGCACAGCGTCAATTAAGGCAAAGCTGTTTCCATGGGTTTATTAGAGAGGGGTTTCTATAGCAACAAAGTTGGCAGCATCCACACTCCCTTTCATGAAAAAAACACAGAAACACAGACAACTCTTTTTGTCGAGCACACTAATGAAACATCTGTTCTCTACAATGACCAGAAGTCTCCAGAGCGTCCGGGTATTGCCCGATTGCCCCGCTGCTGCTGCTGGGGATCAGATGAATTCTTGTTCTTCTGGCTGTGAGGACTCTTTGTGAGCGTGACTATGGTTTGGGGAGAGTGGTCGGTGAGAATGCAGACAGCCAGCCAATTTTTCCTTCAGTCCGCACCTGAAAACTTTTACAAAACACTTGGACACAATAGACTGATAGGGCCAAGTGAAAGCAAACACAGAAACTCTCCCCTGTCCTACTGCATGCTGTATTTGTTAAGGATTTGAGAGTCTTTGTAGATTCTTGGCAGGAATCTCATAATTTTTCATTCTAAAAAGAAGCACATGAAGGCTGCAAAACAATAAAACACTTAAATTTGACTTATAAAGATGTATTACTGCATAGATCCATTGCAGTAGCAATAATCTATTGCTTTAGTGTGTCACAAGAAATGCCACCATGTGATTAATCCAGCTGACATTTTATAATGGTGTTTACATGTGCAATTTGAAAAATTTTCAGCTTGACCATTAATAAACAGTCAAATAGACGCATAAAAATCTCAGAACCATAAAAAAAGTGCTTTTCTGACTATTATCCTGCCAGTTTTTGTATTTTCAGTGTTGCAGCTATTATTTAAAAGTGGAGATTATGCAGGAATTTGCTGTTTTGTATGAT